TGACAATTTTAGGTTATATTTTAGTGATCAAGATTTAATATATATTTTTAACTGCCGCTGTATCTGAATTGTCTCTGTTATACCCAATTGCAATTCAACGTATTCCTGTTGTGTTGTATGATTTTACTGATATTGAAAGTGAGCCAGAACTGGTCTGTGACTGTAATAATAAAATTCAATTCAACCCTTTCCCCCAAAAGATCAAGACAACATATAGTTCTCCACACACACACACAAAAAATCCCCTCCTTTAGCCTCACAACAAGCCAGAAAATGACTAGCCTGAGTTAACCCCAGGAGCTTCACAGCTGAAGCGGGATTCAAATCTGGGGTTCCCAGCTTTGTCTGACACCTGAATCGAACCACTACACTGCACTGCCTCATTTCAGCTGCTGGGGCTAAGCAGGTCTAGTCCCATGCATCTAACCTGGACCACGTAAAAATAGAAAGATGCTCTATACAGACTCAGGCCGTTGGCTCTTCAGAATGCCAGGCTAGGAGGTTTTTTTCCCCTCCAGACATTTTTTGGACTGGAAATGTCAGAGACTGACGCAAGGGGCAGACAGAGAAGTTTCTTAGAGGAAGGGCAGGGTGGTAAGTAATAAGCGAAGCCAAAGCAACATCTCAGGAGTGGCATGTTCCCAATTGTCACAGATTTCCCTGGTTTGGCCCCAATATTTTTCAGCCGTCCATTATCAGTCTTTCCAAGTGCCCCTCATACTCCCGGCTCCCCTGTGCCAGCCAACGAACACCCCATTCCGACAGAGCATCTTTCCTCAAGGGTGGAATAGGCAAAGGAGGACGCATGTTTTAACTATGAAAAAAGAAGATCGTGTGGCAATGCAAATTCCACAGTGGAGAAATTCTTGCAGGCAGAAGCTCCTTAAGCAAACACAAGGTCCACTCTCCTACTCAGACATCATCTCCTGCAAAAAAATCCACTGTGCATTAAGGATTCCGATAATGGATTCCAAAGTGGATTTTCTCCCCAGATGGAAAAAAGTTCCTAATAGTACAGTGGTACCTCAGGTTAGACGCGGGTGGCGCTGAGGGTAAAAGCCTCAGCGCCTAGGGCTTGCCGATCGAAAGGTCGGCGGTTCGAATCCCCGCGGCGGGGTGCGCTCCCGTCGTTCGGTCCCAGCGCCTGCCAACCTAGCAGTTCGAAAGCACCCCCGGGTGCAAGTAGATAAATAGGGACCGCTTACAAGCGGGAAGGTAAACGGCGTTTCCGTGTGCGGCTCTGGCTCGCCAGAGCAGCGATGTCACGCTGGCCACGTGACCCGGTAGTGTCTCCGGACAGCGCTGGCCCACGGCCTATAGAGTGAGATGGGCGCACAACCCTAGAGTCTGGCAAGACTAGCCCGTACGGGCAGGGGTACCTTTACCTTTTTACCTCAGGTTAAGTACTTAATTCATTCCGAAGGTCCGTACTTAACCTGAAACTGTTCTTAACCTGAAGCACCACTTTAGCTAATGGGGCCTCCCGCTGCTGCCATGCCGCCGGAGCACGATTTCTGTTCTCATCCTGAAGCAAAGTTCTTAACCCGAGGTACTATTTCTGGGTTTGCGGAGTCTGTAACCTGAAGCGCATGTAACCTGAAGCGTATGTAACCTGAGGTACCACTGTAATGCCCTTGCTCTGGCAAAAAAGTAACGGTTAGTCATGACAAATGGGACCTGCAACAAAATGGTGCAGTGTGGAATACTCCCGTTCAGTGCTCCAAGCACTTTGCTTCTGGGGCTCCCTGAGGCAAAGAAGGAGGGATGTCGGCATCCTACGCAGTCTCAGTTGTGCTCTGCATCATGGATGAGAAAACACGAAGGGATGTAGGGGTCTAGGCAGTCTCAGTTGCACTGTGCCATATGGATGAGGCGCATAATGAGGAATATACAAGCCTCTTGACAGTGGCATAAAAGGCAATCAATAAATCAATCAATAAATCAATACAGTGGTACCTCGGGGTACAGACACTTCAGGTTACATACACTTCAGTGAGCCAGTGTGGTGTAGTGGTTAAGAGCGGTAGACTCGTAATCTGGGGAACCGGGTTCGCGTCTCCACTCCTCCACATGAAGCTGCTGGGTGACCTTGGACTAGTCACACTTCTCTGAAGTCTCTCAGCCCCACTCACCTCACAGAGTGTTTGTTGTGAGGAGGAAGGGAAAGGAGAATGTTAGCCGCTTTGAGACTCCTTCGGGTAGTGATAAAGCGGGATATCAAATCCAAATCCAAACTCCAAGCAGCCAGCCATGCCCTTTTGCATGATACTCCATTCCACTTCCTATCTGAGCATTCAGATGCTCAGCATTCAGTGGGCACACTCAGTCCAATGAGGCGGTTTCTAAAACAGATTCCCCCCCTAAGTTTTTTTAGGGGGGCAATTCTGCAAACCCTGGGGTCACCCCAGGCCTGCCGCCCCCTCTCTCTTGTGCATGGATAATGCTGATTTGGCTAGGAAGGGATTAGAACTCTGAAAATGAGTTTGCTCCTGGTGCATAGGACAGCTCAACAGAGCCTCCAGGTTCAGAGACACCAAACATTGGTTTGCTGGGGAGCAATGCCAGAACAGGGGCTACTGCCTTCATGCCCTGCCTGCGGGTTGCCCAGAGACATTTGGTTGGCTGTTGTCAGAAACAGGATGCAGGAGAAAATGGACCTGGATAGCTCATTTAGAGCGTGCTGCTGTTAACGCCAAGGTTGCAGGTTCGATTCTGATATGGGACAGTTGAATATTCCCGCATTGCAGGGGGTTGGTCTAGATGACCCCCAGGATTCTTCCAACTCCAGGATTCTATTATCTATAACAGGCTTCTTCAATCTCAGCCCTCCAGATGTTTTTTTAGCCTACAACTCCCATGATCCCTAGCTAGCAGGACCAGTGGTCAGGGATGATAGGAATTGTAGTCTCTTTCTTTTCTCAATTTTTTTTATTGATTTTCACACAATTATAAATAAACAAACAAACACACAAACATAAATCATAACCTTATTAAAATTACACTTATTAACATTGTTAAGCAACTTCCTCGCTTCCCCTTGGTTGAATTTCAATGCATATCCTTTTAATGGTTTTCCAAGTCAAAGTTCTTATAAACTTAACTTAATCATTTAACATCCTTATATCTTTTCAATTCAATATTAAACATATTAAACATCACTTAACTTATACAAATTCCGAAGCCAATCTGTTTCCCGCAAGCTATTTCCAATTAGTTTAACTTAACAAATTTAACTAAATAGTCATTAAATTTTGTCCATTCTTCCTCAAAACATCTGGAGGGCCAAGGTTGAAGAAGCCTAATCTATAACCTCCAGTCTGAGCCAGCAGGGCTCTCCTTATTCTCCCAGGGGCTCAAGGCTGTGGGTCCGACCCATGAAGCAATAATATCAAAAGACTCAGCTCACCCCCCGACTCTGCTCACAGTCTCTTTCCAATTTAACCAGTAACCAACTGGACATCTGATAAGACTTTCCAGGCAGGGGCAAGGATCTGTTAAATGGAGACAGTATCCAAGTCTACTCAAAACGCCCCAAAATCATAATCTATATTCAACACATTTACAGGGGATATGCCAAAATAAGTTTTTGAAGGCCAGAAGATGGCCAGGAAGACGCATCTTCCACAATGGCTGGAAGAATTGGTGCCTTTGGGAGTGGGGAAAGGGGAAGAAGAAATGAGGCGTCCATAAGGTCTATTTGACCATCACCTCCTGACCTTTGAACATTCTCCAAGGGACATTCTCCAACATGCATTGGGAGGCAATGTTGCACAGTGGTTAGAGTCATGGACTAGGACCTAGGTGACCAGCGTTCAAAACCCTACATCAGCCACGAACCTCACTTGGGTGACCTTAAGCTGTCCCTAACCCATCACTCAGTGCTGACTGCACTCTGCACATGCTCAAAGGCTACACATTAAGCTTACTCCACATGCTCTGGGACTGAGGTACCTCTGTGGCGCAATGGGTCAGCGTGCCTGGCTCTTAACCAGAAGGTTCAAACCCACCCACGGACAGCTTGTGGGCAGCATTCCTGAATTGCACAGGGTTGGACTAGATGACCCTTGGGTCCCTTCCAATGCTACGATTCTGTGAGTCCTAGCAATCAAAGCAATAACTGTTTGTTTCTTTTTGGAGAGGGACGGCTGGTATCTAAGACCAAGGAAACATTGTTTTCACGGCAAAGAGGCAAAGGCGACACTACCATGAGGCGAACCAATCTCAGCTGGCAGATTTTGGAGACGACAGAATGGGAGACAGATGAATCTCCCGGGTGGAAAGTCTCCCAGCAGCTGTTCAGTAATTCAAGAGAAGAACTTCCCAGTGGGAAGCAAGTGAGAGAGATGGATGCCATTTGGATTCTCCACCTAAAGACATTTTTTAAAATTATTTTTCCCCCCGAAAATTTTTATTGATTTTCCAAAACATCAATAACTAAACAAACAAATAAACAAACAAACATGAATCTCAACCGTATTGAAACCAAACTTAGTAACACTGTTAAGTGACTTCCTCGCATTCCCCTGGTTGAATTTCAGTGTATATCATTTTAATGGTTTTCCAAAACCAATATTCTTATAAATTTAACTTCATCACTTAACATCTTTCTTTCTTTCCAATTAATTCAGCATTAAACATATTAATTCATCACATTACATATTTAAATCCTAGGCCTATCTGTTATTTGCAAGCTTTTCCAGTTAATTTAACTCAACATATTTAACTAAATATTCTTTAAATTTCGTCCATTCTTCCTGATAACCCTCCTCCTTCTGGTCACGGACTTTTCCAAGTCAGGTCGGCTAGCTCCTACATTTTTAAAAATTCTGGGAGGGAACTGCATCCAGGATATTCTCCCAGTGGCCAACCAGATCTCTCTCCCCAGCTGTGATTCCTAGAGCTGGGAAGCCAGAAACATCCTGCCTCTCTGACACCCAGCAGAAATTAGAATACTCCCTCCCTGGCCTGCCCTCTCCATCCCCTCTCGCCCAGGTGTGTACCTTGAGTCCCCGGATCTCGCCCAGGTGAAGTTGCAGGCGCCGGTTGACCTCGCGGATGAGATTGCTGTGGTCCAGCATGGCGCTCATCTTCTCCGACTCCGCCTTGCGCAGGCTCCGGATCAGTTCCTCCTTGGTCCACTTCAGCAGCTCCTCGTCCGACACCTTGGAGAGGTCTTCGGCCACACCCGCCGCGCAACTTTCCGAGCCGGGCGCCGACGACGCCGACGCCCCGGCTCCAGGTGCGGATCCGGAAGGAGTCGCCACCTTAGACATGATGCCGGCGGCCCAAGTGGCTCCGGGATCGCCTGCCTAGGATGGGGAGGGGGGGATGTGCTTACACTCCGTATTCCACCAAGACCCTCAAGCCCCAGATCTCGGAGGATCCTCGAAAACAACGCCTTTAAGTCAGTCGGGACTGTTCCTCTCGGAGAAATCGGAGTGACTTCGGAATGCAGTAAAGACAAAGTGAAGGGGGGTGCTTTCCCCCAAGCTATTGTGGCTTGTTCAGAAGGAAGGAGGCGCTCCCTCGGTGGTTAAAAGGCATCCTTGCAAATTATTTTAGAGGAGGGGGGGAGACAGAGAGAAGATAAGGAATCTTCAATCCTCCGATCCGGTTGTTGAGTCTGCGCTTAGAACAGTACCCGGGCGGAGGGAGCCGTAAAACAGCAAAATCTTTGTTGTGTGTGTGCCTGGGGGGTTGTAACAAGGAGCTAGGGTGTTCCGGCACAGCTTCAGCCTCAGAGTTTAGCGGATCTTCCAAATTCAACAGGAAAATACATACACACACACATATACATACCCGTGCGCGCTAAGGAGTTTCACAGTGCCCCCCGCGCCTACGAACTTGCGAGCCACGCGGCGCGATCACGAGTGGGGCGAGTCCGCGCGCCCCTCCCAAGTCCGGCTCTTTGCAAACAAAGTGGAGCCGCCCCAAAGGATCCTTGGCGCCGTCGGGCGGAGAAGGGTCGCTCACCCAGCGCCTCCCAGCCTGTTTTCCCAAAGGAGGCGCAGAGAGGGTGTCTCCTCGCTTCCTTCTGCGCCGCGAAACTCAGGGCTTGCTCCGCATCGGCTCCGGCGCCAGACCTCCCTCGGAAACAAGGATCCGGGAGTGGCACGGTCCGAGTCTCTTTGCCAGATCCCCCCGGACAGGACTCGAGGACTTTCCCTTGCGTGCAGGTCGCCTTTCTGTTAGATCCTGCAACACGCCCACGCGCCCTCTCCGGACGCAGCGAGCGCGGGAAGGCGACACGCGGGTCTTTTGTACGTGAGGATGCGGACCAAGGGCAGGTTTGCGCACCACTCCCCAGTCTGGGCAACGCAGCTTTGGAGACAGGGGTCTGGAGAAGCGGGGTAGAGGCACAGATCCGAGAGAGAACCGGATCCTCCCCACGTTGCTCCGGGAGAATCCGTGCGCGGGGGCACCGATCCGCCCTCTCCTTCCTCCGTTGCAGCTCAGGAAAGGGCGCTGCCCGCTTCTCAACTAGGCTCGTCCCTGGCAGCCATCCTCCTCCTCCTCCTCTTCCTCCAACTCCGTCCCGGGCAGCCGGGCCTCGCCCCGCTTCAGCCCGCGCAACCGGCTCCCTGCGGACGCTCCGAGCGGCGCTCTCGGAGCCACGGGATGCCCAGAGCGCGCATTGGGCACGGGAGGGTCTGGTCCGGCGCCCTCGGCAGGCGCTGCGCCCGCGGCGCAGTCCACGTTGGCCGGGCGAGAGTGAGAGCGAAAGTGAGGCGGCGCGAGGCTTTTCAGCTGGGAGGTGGTGGACCACGTGCGATGCTACGGGGGGCTGGGGGGGGCGACAGAGAGGGAGGCGCGGCTCGCAGGCGCCACCTCGCGGGCGCTACCCACCGGCGCCGCTTCTGGCATTGAATCATCGAATTACAGAATTTAGAGCTTGACACCTATCCTTCATAATACAGGATTGCCCCGTATTTCAATGTAAAATGCTACCTCCTGTATTGTTACAGCTTTATTTCAGATATTGTCTCTCCATGGGCATAGCCAGGATTGGGGGTGGGGGCAGAACCTACCGTAAAGGTAAAGAGACCCCTGACCATTAGGTCCAGTTGCAGACGACTCTGGGGTTGCGGCGCTCATCTGGCTTTATTGGCCGAGGGAGCCGGCTTACAGCTACTGGGTCACGTGGCCAGCATGACTAAGCCGCTTCTGGCGAACCAGAGCAGCGCATGGAAATGCCGTTTACCTTCCCGCCGAAGTGGTACCTATTTATCTACTTGCACTTTGACATGCTTTTGAACTGCTAGGTTGGCAGGAGAAGGGACCGAGCGACGGGAGCTCACCCCATCGCGGGGATACGAACCGCCGACCTTCTGATCGGCAAGTCCTAGGCTCTGTGGTTTAACCCACAGCGCCACCCGCGTCCCTAACCTACCGTATTGGCCCGAATATAAGCCACACTTTTTTTTCCAAATTCTGACTGTGAAAAGTTAAAGTGTGCTTATATTCAGAACTGTGCATCCACCTCCCAGAACTACTGCCCTGAATTTTAAAAGTGTGGCTTATTTGTGGGTACGTCTTATATTCGGACCAATAGGTACTTATCTGTGACTCAGTAGGCCAGTTAGTTAAGTATTTTAATTTATTTACCTGATCTAGGGTGACAAATGCCCCCCCATCTCTCTCTCTCTCTCTCTCTCTCTCTCTCTCTCTCTCTCTCCCTCTCTGTGCAAAGTTAGGGATCCTCTCTAAATGCAGGCGTGTGGAAGGCTGTGTGAAAGGTCATGTATTTAAGCTCTGGGTAAGCCAAGCACCTGTTGTCTTTGTTCATGGAGTTTTCTTGGCAGGGATACTGGAGTGGCTTGCCGGTTCCTGCTCCAGGTGGATCACATGTGGTCAAAACTCTCCACTATGACCTGTCCATCTTGGGTGGCCCTGCACGGCATAGCTCATAGCTTCTCTGAGTTATTCAAGCCCCTTCGCCATGACAAAGCAGTGATCTACGAAGGGGGACAAAGGTCCTTGCCAACCTTGCCAACAAACGTCCGTATTGTTAAAGCTATGGTTTTGCCAGTATTGATGTATGGAAGTGAGAGCTGGACCATAAAGAAGGCTGATCGCCGAAGAATTGATGCTTTTGAATTATGGTGCTGGAGGAGACTCTTGAGAGTCCCATGGACTGCAAGAAGATCAAACCTCTCCATTCTCAAGGAAATCAGCCCTGAGTGCTCACTGGAAGGACAGATCCTGAAGCTGAGGCTCCAGTACTTTGGCCACCTCATGAGAAGAGAAGACTCCCTGGAAAAGACCCTGATGTTGGGAAAGATGGAGGGCACAAGGAGAAGGGGATGACAAAGGACAAGATAGTTGGACAGTGTTCTTGAAGCTACCAGCATGAGTTTGACCAAATTGCGGGAGGCAGTGGAAGACAGGAGTGCCTGGCGTGCTCTGGTCCATGGGGTCACGAAGAGTCAGACACGACTAAATGACTAAACAACAACAACAACAACAAAGCCAAGCACAGACAGATTTACAAAGTCATGTTTATGTATGACAAATTCCCCAGGGGCCACACTCTTAGGCTGCAATAGATGGCAATGGATTGCTTTGAAGTCACTTCAGGACCAGATTTGCGGGGGGGGGTCATCCCCACAACAGCCCTGCCCTGCCCTGTAATTTGCCAGAACAAAGGTGGCAACCCTAATAGAATTCTAGAATTGGAAGAGGGTCCCCTAAGGATCATCTAGTCCAACCCCCTGCACAGCAGGGATCGCAACTGAAGAGTCCTTGGCAGGTGGCTGTCCAAGCCTTTCCCCATCTTCTGCACCACCTGGGAAACTCCGCTGCTGTCCTTGGAACTGGGTGTGCAGCTGCATGGGGCACAGCTGTGGGCAGCCTGAGGAAGTGCCCATAAAAAGCAATTCTAGAGTGGAAGACTAGGGAGACGCCCGCTGTTTCCAGGATCTCGTCTTGCTGTGAGGCGTTTGTTGGTGAGCTGAGAGCTTTATTGGAGCCACGTTGAGAAACCGGAGGCTGAGAGAGAGGGTGTGATACTGATTTCTATACAGTGGTACCTCTGGTTGCGAACGGGATCCATTCCGGAGGCCCGTTCGCAGCATGAAAAGCCCGCAACCTGAAGCGCCATATCTGCGCAGGTGCGCAGCGCGATTTGGCGCTTGTGCGCATGCACCAAGCGTGACTTGGCACTTCTGCGCATGCACGAGCGGCAAAACCCGGAAGTAACCCTTTCCAGTACTTCCGGGTCGCCGCGGGACGCAATCTGAAAAAATGTAACATGAAGCAAACATAACATGAGGTATGACTGTACATTAGTAACTTTGTGCTAATGTAACATTTTTATAAGTAACTGTGTGTTTTTGTAGTACAGCGGTAGCTTGGTTTGCATACGTCTTGGTTTGCTTACGTTGTGGATTACAAACACTTCAAACCTGGAAGTGCGTGGCAGAAATGACTGGCAGAATTCGAGATCCGGGAGAAGAGTCGGTGGAAGAAGATTGGAAGAAATTTAAAATTTATTTACAGAAACATTGTAAAATGTATGAATGTTGATGACATTGAAATGAAAGGATGGGGTTCTAGCAACAAGACATAATGTAAGACTGGATTGATAACAGATAAAAATTTGAAATTATAATTTGGGAGGAAAAGCAACTAAGGATAAAGTAATAGGATATGAATTTGCTGAACCAATTTTTAAAAAGGGATACAAAAAAGGGAGGCGTGAGGAAGTCAGGAAAATAAGTTAATCAAAGATGAGAAATGAAAAAAGAGTTTTGTGTTTTCTTTTTTGTGCACTTATTTGTTTTTTCTGTTTTTTCTCTTTTTCCCTTGTTAGGTTAAATGTTTGTATTTTTGTATTGTGTATTTTTGTATTGTTGTGTTTTATATTTTTCATGTGTTTTTATTGCTCTTTGTTTGTTGTTTTGGTATTTCTTTCTTGTTAAAATTCAATAAAATATTATTATTAAAAAAAAAAACCTGGAAGTGCGTGTCCTGGTTTGCAACCTTTTTTTGGATTACAACCCTTTTTTCTTTTTTTGGATTATGGACAAATAAAATCGAGGCCCCATTGGTGAAAGCATGCCTTGGGTTACAACCTGTTTTGGTTTACAAGCGGACCTCCAGAACGGATTATGGTTGCAAACCAAGGTACCACTGTACATTGTTTCAGATGTCTGTTGTTGTTTCTTTCTTTCTTTCTTTTTGTACCCCCAAATTTCAATCTATTAAGAGGAGCAGGAGAAAACAAGCTTGCTCCATCCATGACAGCTAAAGCATCCATGGCAGATGGCCATCCAACCTCTGCTTAGAAACCTCC